CCATCTGCTGGTCATTCCCCAAATGGCTGCAACAGCCAGAGCTGAGCTGATCTGAAGCCAGGAGCCAGGAGCTTCCTCTGGGTCTCCCACGTGGGGATAGGGACTCAAGGCCACTTAGGCCATCTTCCACGGCTTTCCCAGGCCATAGCGGAGAGCTGGATCAGAAGAAGAGCTGGCCGGCGCCGCGGCTCACTAGGCTAATCCTCCGCCTAGCGGCGCCGGCACACCGGGTTCTAGTCCCGGTCGGGGCGCCGGATTCTGTCCCGGTTGCCCCTCTTCCAGGCCAGCCCTCTGCTGTGGCCAGGGAGTGCAGTGGAGGATGGCCCAGGTGCTTGGGCCCTGCACCCCATGGGAGACCAGGAGAAGCACCTGGCTCCTGGCTCCTGCCATCGGATCAGCGCGGTGTGCCGGCCGCAGCGCGCCGGCCGCGGCGGCCATTGGAGGGTGAACCAACGGCAAAGGAAGACCTTTCTCTCTGTCTCTCTCTCTCACTGTCCACTCTGCCTGTCAAAAAAAAAAAAAGAAGAGCTGCCAGGACATGAACTGGTGCCCGTATGGGGTGCTGGCATTGCAGGTGAAGGCTTTACCTGCTACGTGGTAGCACCAGCCCCGATAGCTGAGTTTTAAAATGAGAAATCAGAGGCAGGCGTTGGGGTGCAATGGATTCAGCCATCACTTGAGCTGCCCACATCCCACACTTTGTTCATTATTGATCCCTTGATCTTGAGGCCCTCTCCCTCTGCCCCCGTCCTGAGTCCCATCTGTGGTTGGGTTCATCCAGGAAGCCTCTCCTCATCTCTCTCCATGTGACAACTGCCCCCTTCACATTTCTGGACTGTGCTGGGCACCATATAGTTCTTTGTGTGATTGTATGATTTGGAGTCAAGGGAAGGTTTTATTTCCTATATATTTTCTTGTTTATTATCTGAGTGTTCTTAGACATCACTAAGTTTCAGTCAGAATACAAGAACAGGGGCCGGCGTTGTTGGCTCATTGGCTTAAGCCACAGCATGTATCACCTGCATCCTCTACTGGAGTGCTGGTTCGAGTCCTGCCTGCCCTGCTTCCAGTCCAACTCCCTGCTAACAGGCATGGGAAAGTAGTAGAGGATGGTCTAAATACGTGGGCCTCTGCATTCACATGGGAGACCCAGAGGAATTTTGGGCTCCTGGCTTTAGCCTGGACCAGTTCCAGCTGTTGTGGCTATTTGGGGAATGAATCAACAGATGGAAGACCTCTTTGTCATTTTTTGTTTGTTTGTTTGTTTTTGAAAGGCGGAGTTACAGAGCAATTGAGCTCGAGATCTTCCATCTGCTGGTTCACTCCCCACGTGGCCACAACAATTGGACAGAGCTGGGCTGATTAGAAGCCGGGCCAATCCAAAGCCAGGAGCCAGGAGCTTCTTCCAGGTCTCCCATGTGAGTGCAGGGGCCTAAGTACTAATGTGCCTGCTTTCCCAGGCACATCGGCAAGGAGCTGGATTGGAAGTGGAGCAGCCAGGGCTCTAACTGGTGCCAATATGGGATGCCAGTGGCGCAGGCGGCAGCTTTACCCACTATGCCATGGTGCTGGTCCAGTCTGTCTTTCAAATAAATCTTGTTTAAAAAATATGCAAGTACAGAGTTGGTCATTCAGCCTAGCAGTTAAGATGCCAGTTAAAACACCTGTATTTCACGTCAGTGTCTGGGTTTGATTTTTATGGCATACTCACCAGATAGTAGGCATTGTACTCTCCATGTTCTCATTTAACTTCCTGTAATTAATCCCATCGTGTAGATGCTGAAACTAAAGATGAGAGAAGGTTCAGAAAGATTGTGTTGAGCAAACTGAATGTTGTTATGTCCCAAAAGATAGGAAGTATAACTAGGTACTAGAAGAAACCCAAGAAGAACATGTACTGGTATGTTACCAGTGAGGTGAGTCTCTGTGACTTTCAGGGACTGTTTCTTACACTTTTCTCCCCTTTGCACCTGCTCCTGGGTAGAGCATGTAGAAAATGCCTGGTAAATGCAGGCTGAGGTAGAGAGAATTCTCTCCTTGATCCAACTTGGTTGGATAGGCCCCAGTGTTGGTAGTTCTGTCTTTGGGTGTTATTAGTTCCTGGTGCTATGTAACACTGTTCATCTGGAGAGTTCCCCAGATGCCCTCACACTGTCAGAGTAGAAGCGTCTTGGGATGGAGGATGCGCTTGTTGTGCTGTGGGCTGTAGTTCCCTGGCTGACGAGGTCTCAGCCCTGCAACAGGCAGTGGGAGTTGCCCAGCAGAGCCCTGAGCAGGCTGGAGACAGTCTGCTTGTTTGGCGACTCACTTGCAGCTGACACAGCCTTGCCATGCCCTTGTGAACGGCTGTCAAGTGGATCTGCTCAGAGCAGCGTGGCACACCCCAGCTTCAGTGCCTCCTGTTCTGGGTCCTCTGTCCAGGCTGACAGGACCAGCTGCCCTCAAGGCACTTGTGCTGATGTAGGAACTCTGCAGGTATGTTGTGTTTTATTGAATCCTTTTACTATTAGATGGTTTTATTTAATCACTTTATTTGAAAGGCAGAGAGATCTTCCATCCACTGGTTCATTTCCCAAATACCTGCAATGACTAGGGATGGGCCTGGTGAAACAGGTTGAGCCTGGAACTGCATCCAGGGCTCTCACAGAGGTGGCAGGGAATCCAAGTACTTGGGCCAGCATCAGCTGCCTCCCTAGATGTGAATTAGCAGGAAGCTGGAATTGGAAGTGGAGCCAAACTCAGGCACTCTGATGTGACTTGGAGGCATTCTAAGCATTGTCATTCATTCATTCATTCATTCATTTAAAAGGCAGAGTTATAGAGAGGCAGAGAGGAAGAGATAGGTAGGTAGGTAGGTAGGTAGGTAGGTAGATAGATAGATAGATAGATATGGGTCTTCCATCCACTGGTTTACTCCCTAAATGGCCAGAGATGCGTCAGTCCTAAGCCAGAAGTCAGGAGCTTCTTCCATGTCTCCCACTTGGGTGCAGGGGCCCAAGGACTTGGGCCATAGCAGAGAGCTGGATCAGAAATGGAGCAGTCAGGACTCGAACCGGCACCCATAGGGATGCCAGCACTGCCGACAACAGCTTTGCCCACTGCGCCACAGTGGCGGCCCCATATTATTTATTTTTAAAGATTTATTTATTAATTTGAAAGATTTACAGAGTGAGGGAGAGACAGAGATATCTTCCACCCACGGGTTTACTCCCCAAGTGTCTACAATGGCCAGGGCAGAGCCACACTGGAGCCAGGAGCTTCATCCCAGGCTCCCATGTGGGTGGCAGAGGCCCAAGCACTTGGGCCATCTTCTGTTGCTTTCCCAAATGTGTTGACAGGGAGCTGAATTGGAAGTGGAGCAGCAGAGACTTGAATGACACCCACATGAGATGCTGGCCCTGCAGGCCACGGCTTTTACTTGCTATGCCACAGTGCTGGTCCCACCCAGCTTCTTTTTAAAAGCCTTTCTGGTGCATTTTGATCGTTTCTCTGAGATGATGAACAACATGGGTGGTGATGAGGATGAGATTTGCCAGAAGTAGATGGAGCAATGATGATTCACAAGACAGCGATGATGGAAGAATGCCGGATCTGAAATAAGGAGTGTAGTCATCACCTGGAATTTGAGAAAGAAAGTGAATTCTCTGCAAAATTTCATAATTGAGAGAGTTCCTGAGTTGATAGCTCTAAAGGCGGATGCTGTATTTGCCTCCTTTAACCCATTTTTCAACCTGTTTGTTTTTTTAAAAGGCTTCACTCAGGGTTGATATTTCCATTGTATGGGGCAGTTTTAAGTCAGCTAAGGCAATGACCTTATGCGTGAACATTTCCCAGACTTCATGAAGCTGTCGAGGTCCTAGATAATTGATACAGCAGTTGTGATAAATAAAAACATTTCACTTAAGTCTCCTTTACTTCTTCTTCATAACATAGATACTGACATGATGGGAAGTGCTCAGCTTAGGGAAAGATAAGTAAATTTTAGGGTTTAGAACATGGAATCAAAAAAGGCTGAAACAAACTGGCTGACACCTTAAACTGATAACCAGCTGTTCCTCTGGTGTATCCTTCAGGAGTGTTCCACTAAAGTTTATTTTTCAAAAAATTCACTTCACATTATTCTATGTAAGTGATCACTTGTCAGTGTTCCAGATGTATCTTAGCTAAAACTAGTGAATGCCCTAACTTAGATGGTTTTTGAAGCCTATACATTTGGTATTGTTTGGCCCTTAAGCTTTTACATCTCTTAGCATAGAGGACAAAGAAAGCTTAAGAGTCTGTACATTTAGACCAGATTTGTATTTGCACTGTCAGTATGGCAAATGAGAGAAAAAATGTTAATACACTATTGGAAAAATTTTTTTTTAATTTCTTTTTTTTTTTTCTGGTTCAGCTTATACCAGGGCTGAAAACCTCAATTTATGTTCATGACAGTGGGATTTTTTTAAATGTCTGCATTCTTTCTAATAAACTGTTGGAAGACTTAAAAAAAATGTTTTGGTGACTATTTTGATATAATTTCAGATGTACAGAAAAGAATTGAAAGATTAGTACAAAGAGCGCTTCTATACCTTTAACCCAGATTCACACCAGCATTTGGCTCCTCTGCTTTGTTGACTGACCGTGTCACCCTAGCATGTGTGCACCTGCTTACACATGCCAGTCTTGTGAACTGGTGATGGTAAGATAGTGCACCCCTGTACTTCTGAACACCTGTTTATTTCCTTAGAACAAGGACATACTTTTATTTCTATAACCACTATACATTTATAAGAAAAAACAGCAAATGTCAATGTAATGCTCATTGTCTAATCTACCATCTGCATTCAGACTTTGTCCATATTCTGATATGGTCTCAGTAGTGGCCGAGCTCTGTTGTAAAGAAAAGCACGGAGTGTCTGTGTTCCCTGGCTGTGCTGGCTCAGGAGAGCAGAACAGGCAGGTGTTTGGAGACGTGTCTGCTATGCATGATGGATCATCAGCTCTTTGTGTCTCAACAGGACAAAAGTGAGGGCAGCAAGAACCACTGGGCAACAATGTCAGCGGAAGTGGAGACCTCCGAGGGGGTAGACGAGCCGGAGGAAAAGAACTTTGGGGAAAATCACATCAGGTGAGCAGTGAGGGCTGGCTGCATCCCATCAGGTGGACCTAGCACTTGGTTTCATCTACTAGTGGCACCCGAGAGTGGTTATGGGTCAGGGCTTGTGGAACTTGGGATACTGGTGGGCTGTGCAGCGATCAAGCGCATACAGCCCCTTGGCTGGCTGGCACTCTATTCATTTGTCCTGTTCCAATGTCTTCACCAGAGGCAGCACAGGTGCCAAGTGATAGAATTCGACAGTTGTTCCCCGCCCCCATCTCTTCCCTTTCCTTTTTGAGACAGGTAGAGGAGACAGGGTTCCCAACTGCTGGCTCACTTTAAGTGCCCACAGTGGCAGGTACTGGGTCATGCTGAAGCTGGAAACCTGGAACTCAATCCAGGTCTCCTACATGGGTAGGGACACCCAGTTACTTGAGCCATTACTTGCTGCCCCCCAGGGTCTACACGTAGTAGTAGAATGCCCACATCCCATATCTGAAATGCCTGGGTTTAAGCCCTGGGCCTGCTTCTGATTCCAGCTTTCTGCTGATGCAGACACGGTGAGGCAAACAGATGGTGGCAAGTAGTTGGGTACCTACCAGCCAACTGCATTTAGTTCCCATCTGCTGGCTGGGAACCAGCAGATGGAGCTGTCTCTGCCTCTCACATCAATAAAAATAGCTGTTCTTTCATCTGGGCTGAGAAAGGGTTATCAGTGGCAAAGCTGGCTCCATTCATGGTGCCTTCCACTGGTGTGAATGTGGAGGCAATTCTGACTGGGGGCCAGAGCCAATTCTCTTTGAGCCTCAGATTACTGGGGACTGTTCTGCATTGTTCTTAGTTTGTTGTAATAACCCTGTCATTGGCAAAGTTCTTTTTTTAATACCTTGAAATAATTGTTGATAATTGCATGTGGGTGATATAAGCTCATCTAAAGCAGCCAGCAGAGGCTGGATTGTGACAGGGCTGAGTCTTCCTTGCTGTAACACATGGGTTTTGTGGACATACACCTGGTCAGGTGCCACTCATGTTTTCTACCTTGTCCATCCTTCAGAAGCACAGCTTTAGCCTGATTTTTTTGACAGGCAGAGTGGACAGCTGAGTGGACAGTGTGAGAGAGAGACAGAGAGAAAGGTCTTCCTTTTGCCATTGGTTCATCCTCCAATGGCCGCCGCAGCCGGCACACTGCGGCCAGCACACTGCGCTGATCCAATGGCAGGAGCCAGGTACTTATCCTGGTCTCCCATGGGGTGCAGTGCAGGGCCCAAGCACTTGGGCCATCCTCCACTGCACTCCCGGGCCACAGCAGAGAGCTGGCCTGGAAGAGGGGCAACCAGGACAGAATCCGGCGCCCCAAACGGGACTAGAACCCGTTGTGCCGGCGCCGCAAGGAGGAGGATTAGCCTAGTGAGCTGCGGCACCGGCCGCCTGATATTTTTTCTACTCCAAAACATTTTTTTTAAAAAGAAACTAATTTAAATGTACATGATGTGACTTTGTTAAATACTATTTTTCTCTGATTCTAACTTCCTGATCTTAATTAACTTCATTTCTGTTGCCATGGAAACCAGCAATGCAGTTAATCAGATGCAAAGGTAGTGAGGTACACACAGAAGCATTCTATAAGTACAGAAACAACACTTACTTCCTGTGTGATTTTGTTCAGCAGCATACCCAAGGACTGTCCCAGCCTTCACAGTCAGTCCCCACCCCTCTTTTCTAAAAAAATTTATTTATTTGAAAGAGTTACAGAGAGGTCTTCCATCCACTGGTTCACTCCACACATGATCGCAACGGCCAGAGCAGAAACCAGGAGCCAGGAGCCAGGAGCTTCTCCCAAGTCTCCCACACAGGTTCAGGGGTCCAAAGACTTGGGCCATCTTCTACTGCCTTCCCAGGCCAATAGCAGAAAGCTGGATCAGAAGTGGAGTAGCCGGGACTTGAACTGACACCCATATGGGATGCCTACAGTGCTGGTGCTTTAACCCGCTGCGTCACTGTGCCACAGTAGCAGCCCCCAATCACAGTCCTTTATGGCTGCAGCATCTGAGCCATTCCCAAAGGCCAGGCTATAGAAGCCAGGAACACTGATGGGAGTAGAGGTGGTTTCTTCAGCCACTAGGTGGCCACAGAGACAAAGCATGATTCAGTGTTTTGGTTTTTTAAAGACTTACTTATTTAAAGGTTTATTTATTTATTTGAGTTACACAGAGAAGGAGAGGCAGAGAGAGAGAGGTCTTCCATTCACTGGTTCACTTCCCAGTTGGCTGCAATGGCCAGAGCTGTGCTGATCCAAAGCCAGGAGCCAGGAACTTTTTCTAGGTCTCCCGTGCAGGTGCAGGGGCCCATGGTCTTGGGCCATCCTCTACTGCTTTCCCAGGCCATGGGAGAGATCTGGATTGGAAGTGCAGCAGCTGGGACTTGAACCAGCGCCCATATGGGATGCCGGCTCTGTGGGTGGTAGCCTTACCTGCTATGCCACAGCACTGGCCCCAACTTATTTATTTGAAAGAGTTACAGAGAGAGGAGAGACAGATCTTCGGTCTGCTGGTTCACTCCCCAAATGGCTGCAATGGCCAGGGCTGGGACCAGGCCAAAGCCAGGAGCTTCATCCAGGTCTCCCACTTGGGTACAGGGGCCTAAGCACTGGGCCATCTTCTGCTGCTTTCCCAGGCCGTTAGCAGGGAGTTGAGTCAGCAGTGGAGCAGCTGGATCTTGAACTGGCCCCCATGTAGGATGCTGGCATTGAATGTGGTGGCTTAAATTGCCATGCCACAACACCGGCCCCCCAGTGGTTCTTTTTTTTTTTTTTTTTTTTAAGATAAATTTGAAAGGTAGAGTGGCAGGAGGTTGGGAAGAACAGATCTTCCGTCCATGGGGTCACAGCCCAGATGGTCACAGTGGGCTAAAGCCAGGAGCCTGGCTCTCCTTGTGGGTGATAAGGACTTAGCTGCTCCCCAGGTACACCAGCAGGAAGCTAGGTCCAAAGTGGGGTTGGGACTCAAACTAGCACTCCGATGTGGGATGTGGGTGTTCCAAGTGGTGGTTAACCTGCTGTGCCACAACACCTGCCCCAGTCGAGGTACATGTGCTTTGAGGAGCAGGCCAGTCATCGCATGTCCTTGGGACAGACTGTCTTGTCTGCTCACCCTGCACTCCCCGACAAGGCTGTGCTGTTGGTGCTGGAATGAAGTGTCTGAGCTGCAAGTGGCCACCTTGGGGACTGGCTGGTCTTTCCACCCATAGTTAGGAAGGACTTACTCTTATTTTCTCTGTCACATACTCTCACCTGTATTCCCATCTCCCAACAGAATGGCTGATCTCTCTGAGCTCCTGAAGGAAGGGACCAAGGAAGCACATGACCGGGCAGAAAATACCAAGTTTGTCAAGGACTTCTTGAAAGGCAACATTAAGAAGGAGATATTTAAGGTTTGTGCCGTCAGTCACAGATGCGGGTGGGTTCCAGCCTCACAGGGTCAGGTTGGGGACTTTAGTCCCAAGGAATTGCTCTAAGGGAGCAACTGGGCCATTCTTCATGCTCCATACTTTCTGGGCAGTAAGCTGTGCCTCTCCTCATGGCTTAAGTGGAATGACATAATGACATAAAGGAAACAAAAGCATCCATATCCCAAATAATTCACCATGTTATTCCTGTGACACGAAAGCTTCCTGAGCATGTTAAATAATTCACTGTATTAAAACGAGTCAGGCTTGGGTCTTCAGGAGCTAGATGGTGCGTGTTGCCTGCTCCTTTGTAGCTGTTCAAACACGGTGAGTCTGGGCACTGCTGGCCAACCTGCAGCACATTCCAACAGTGTCTCTCCCTCCCCCCAATAGCTGGCCACCACCGCACTTTACTTCACATATTCAGCCTTGGAGGAAGAAATGGACCGCAATAAGGACCACCCAGCCTTTGCCCCCTTGTACTTCCCCATGGAGCTGCACCGGAAGGAGGCACTGACCAAGGACATGGAGTACTTCTTTGGTGAGAACTGGGAGGAGCAGGTGCAGTGCTCTGAGGCTGCCCAGAAGTACGTAGAGCGGATCCACTACATAGGGCAGAATGAGCCAGAGCTGCTGGTGGCCCATGCGTACACCCGCTACATGGGGGACCTCTCAGGGGGCCAAGTGCTGAAGAAGGTGGCCCAGCGGGCACTGAAGCTCCCCAGCACAGGAGAAGGGACCCAGTTCTACCTGTTTGAGAACGTGGACAATGCCCAGCAGTTCAAGCAGTTCTACCGGGCCAGGATGAATGCTCTGGACCTGAACCTGAAGACCAAAGAGAGGATCGTGGAGGAGGCCAACAAGGCATTTGAATATAATATGCAGGTACTGGTGGGGGCCAGCTCTGGGTGCCCTGGCTGAAGAGGGAGGCTGGACACTGAACAAACCCAGAACTGCCGGGGCGAGATGTGCCATTAGGACAGATGAGCTGCAGTGGCGCAAAAGGCTAGGGAGCCAAGTCGGCCACCCAAAGGCACGAGCCCAGTATGTGTCTCCAGCCCGCTGTGGCAGATGGCTGTGGGCAGGGTTCTGGGAAGGGTGAGGCCCCCAGCCTGTGAAGGGGTCTAGGGCACTGGAGCTGTTCGCCTCCCTCTCAGCATCGCAGATACTGGTCTTGAGGAAGGGAGTTTCCTCCTTTTGACAAAATTGCTTGTTAATTTGAGGGAAGGGCAGAGTCACCACGGAGGGTAAGCACGGTTTATATGTAGCTTTTAGATGGAGTGAAGCCTAGAGAGGCCGACTGTCCCCTGTGCCCCCGGTCAGTCCTCAGGGACAAGGGAAGTGGCTGTGATGGGTGAAGTGCCAGGCTGACCAAAGACCCAGCGGCCCTCCGCTGTGGCCTCCCAAGAACGCGTCTGCTGTCCTGCAGTCTCCTCCTCCTGCAGCCGAGGTTTTCAGTGTTTCCTACAAAACCACCAGCAGCTACAAGGGTGAAGCCGCAGCACCCTTTTTTCATGTTTGGCTCTTAGAGAAGGCTGGGCACGGGTCAGTGTCCGGGGAGGCCTGTGCTAGCAGCATGGGTGTGGTGGCCACACATGCCCAGAGCTTGTGCCTTGGAGGCGGCCACCGCTGCCCACCAGGGGGCTGCCCGCGGGCTAGCTGGTGCTCCTGAGCAAGCGCCCTCAGAACTGGGGAGAGTTCTGCTGACGGCTCGGTTCTTCTGCTCCTCAGATATTCAGTGAACTGGACCAGGCTGGCTCTGCACCGGCCAGTGAGACTGTGGAGGACAGGATCCCCGTGCACGACGGCAAAGGAGATGTGCGCAAATGCCCCTACTATGCTGCTGGGCAAGTCAACGGTAGGTCTGTGTCCTGAGCCCTCCGGCTGGGGTCGGGGCGTCAGTGGCCCCCCACTGACACTGTCTTCTGTTGGTGCTGCCACACAGGTGCCCTGGAGGGCAGCAGCTGCCCTTTCCGAGCAGCCATGGCTGTGCTGAGGAAGCCCAGCCTCCAGTTGGTCCTGGCCGCCGCTGTGGCCTTGGCTGCAGGACTCTTGGCCTGGTACTACATGTGAAGGACCTGTCACGCCACACTGGGGCCTCCTTCCAGGTGACCACTGGCCCATCTCCACCTCTGACTAAACTAACACCTCAGGTGACTTTTTTAAATGCTGGGATTAAAATAAGCAACCAATAAAAGCCAGTCGCTCGAGCCTCTGCCTAATAGCATCCTCTCTGTGGACCTGATGCCGCACTGGAACTGGCCATCCCAGGGAGCAGCCAGCACTGTGTAGCAGGGCAGGCCTGCGCCGGCCTGGGCCAGTGAGCCTGGGTGTCCAAGCCAGCTCTGTGCTGGGGCCCCCACACCTGCAGGCCCTGGGCTGTTTCAGGCTGGCATCTCCCTCCTGGCAGGTGGCCAGTAAAGCCAGGCTCTGTGGAAGGAGGGCCAAAGCCTTGCCGAACCACACTGCTCGACTTTTGGGCCTCATCTGGGGCCGTAGGGTGGGCAGAAGCCAAGCAGCATCCTCCTTCGCCTCTGAGGCCCCGGGAGCTCATCCCTGTCGAGCAGAACCCTTTGGAGAGGTGTGTCTGCAGCCTGCCCTCCCTAAGCCGTGTAAATGCTACAGCACTCAATAAAGCGGACTCTGCAAGGCACAGGGTGGGCCAGGTGACCTCTGGCACCCACTGGCCCACAGGAAAGGAGAGTGAGGGTGTCTTGTATCCAGGCAGAAGCGGAGGCCTGCCTTCCTCATAATCCCACAGCCCCTTTCTATTCTCTCTCCTGTTCTCCATCCTTGCACCCCTCATTTCCAAAGGCAGCCACCCTGAGCACCTTTGTCACCCAGATCCTTACAGGTTGTATGGTCTTGTGATTTTCTAACTCAAATACTTCAGAGGTTTGCTACTAAAAGGGTACAAACTTATATTTAAATAACCCACCATCTAAAATAGAATTGTGAACTTAAAACATTTTATTAACAGTACTCTATTATCTGTAAAACTTTTATTCAAAAACAGGTTTCTGAAACTGCTGACTAAGCTTACCTCCTTCACAGTTCAAATAAGTTAGTGGGCAAGGGGAGAACTGGCAGGGAAGCCAGGCACCCAGACTGTGCCCTGCTGCCCTTTGGACCAGACGCCACAGTTCAGGGGCTGTCTTGCTTCCAGGAACAAGAGAGTTGCCTACAAGGTAGGCGGATGCAAAACCCAAGCTTGGCAGGCTTCAGCCTATAGTTTCCACAGGTGAGGCGTATAGATGGCTGAAACCAGCATCAGGAAGTCCAGTGCCCTTACAGCCATGCTGCAGCCTACTCCTGCCCTGGTCACAGCTGAATCCTCAGGACGGGCCTACACCTGACTCTGGTTTGACCTTTTAGGTCCTTACACATCAGTACTGTCCCTAGGCAGCTGGCACCATGTAAGCATAAGACCTTGAAAACTCAGCCCTGCTGGCAGCCCACCTGCTGCACCCCCGCCCCCTTCCCTCAGAAAAGAAGGAAGCCAGGCAAGAGAGCAGAGGCTGGTGCAAGGGAGTGAAGGAGCCAATTTAATGAGAAACTACAGACAGACAGGGCCGCGGTTCACAGTGACAGGAGGCCATGCAGTGGCAGTGCGAGACCAGGAGAGGGACAGCAGCAGGGTAGAGCATCCATGGGAGCAAGTTCATGAACAAACCACTCAGGAAAGAAAGGTTGTGCTCAGGCCCAGGGCAGGAGTGGTGTCTGCCAGGGCACTCCTACCACTTGTGGCTGCTACTTCCTCGTTCCCAGCCTGTCCTCAGCCTAGTGCCACAGCTGCTCCTGCTGCCGCACCTGATGCGGAAACAGCCACAGCCAGGGTGAGTCAGCTGGGGCAGAGGGCATGGAGCTTACTGGCAATAAAATGATTGGAGAGATGGAGAGGGCCCTCCGGACCCCACTTACCCACCCACCCACCCCTGAGAAAGCCCTTCCTCCCAAGCAGAGGCTGAGCCTGTATGCAGCAAGGACACGATGGGTTAGGCTCATGGGCATTCCTTCTGGCCACAGAAAATACAAGAGTTCACAGAAGTGTGGCCAGAAAGGGGATCTGCACACTGACCCAGAGACCAAGCAGGGGGTGGGGTGAGAGGCGAGTCCCTTCTTGGCTACCAGGACCAGTCACCCAGAGTCCTCTCTTCCCTGCACCAGGTGGCTCTTGGGCACTTGTACAGGGTGTTAGAGGTCCTAGGTTTGGATACCTGAGAGTTCTGAAGACCAGAGTTGGCAGTCATCATTTCTCTGATACACTACCCTCGCACCCTAGAGGCACAAAGCACCTCGGAACCAGACCCAGACCTCATGACCCTGTTCTGCTCCAGACAACTCCGCTGGACTCCAGATGGCTCTCTTACTTTCAGCCCAGCAGGTCAAAAACCACTGTGGCTCCAGGCAGGCACAGCCCCACTGCAGGCCCAACCTAGGGATTGCTGGCTGGTCTGGCTGCTTTTGGTCCCAGGGAGAAAGTCAGAACTGAACCTGTACCTTGGACGGAAATGTAGGAGGACCCCATGGGAGAACCTTCCCAGCTTATCTCCTGATGACAGTACCAAGCAAACCAGCGGTACAAGCTCAGTGCCATCCCGTCACCCACTGACCCTTGGCCTTAAATCCAACGGCAAGTTTTGTTGGAAGAGCTTCAGATGCTCGGGGCACAGCAAGGCGAAGAGGACAAGACTTCCGGGGACAGTGGCGTAGCTTCCAGCTCCAGGTGGGAGTGGGAAAGCAACCACATGAGCACAGGGAGCAGAAGCACAGGGAACCAGACTGACAGGTGGGGAAACTGAGTCCCAGCTCCGTTAGCACAGGCGCTTGTACGTGTAGATGTAGGCTTTGCAGCTGGGGCATGTGTGAGTCACATCCTTGAAGTCGTTGATGAGGCAGGGGATCAAGCAACAGCCCAGGTCACACCTGAATTAGAGATGGAGAGACAGGTGACGTGTAAGAGAGGGGGCGGAGTGGCTCCAGAGCCCCAGTGGCCTCAGCCTATTGGCACCACACACCTACCCCATGAAGCAGCAGAAGAAACCCAGCACGAAGTTCATCAGGCCGATCTCGTAGGAGATCTTGGTGGTGATGGCCTGCTGGCAGTGAGGACACACAGTCTGCACAGGTGCGCCTTCAAAGATCTCTCCCTGTAGCACTGTCACCGTAGTGGCAGCCCCCGAGGGAACCAGCACTGTAGCTGTGTGACCCCCAGGGCCAGGGTAGGGCCCTGGCGGGTAGGGTCCAGGGGGGTAGTAGCCCATGGGTGGGTGGGGGCCTGGAGGAGGGTAGAAACCTGGAACAGCACAGAAGACAGAGAGGTCACTGGCTGCTGCCCACCCCTGGTGAAAGGTGAATATGAAACCCCTGACCCCCAACACCTGGGGTACAAGGTGGGGCCAGGAACTGCCACCCTCCTAATGGAAGCCGCAGAGTCAGTGGGAGGCCTTGTGGCTAGAACTCTGGGTCAAGGTGGCCATCCACACTCTAGGTCCCATGGGACCTGAGACAGCTGTGGAAAGAGCCAGGAACGTGGCCTAGTCTCTGGCTTTGTTCCCGTCTGGCATGCAGGAACAGGGCACTCAGTCTCACTCCCTAACCACAGGATGAAAAGCCTCGCTTGTCTCCTATACCTGGGGCTCTCCCCACTGTCAGGTCCTAGTGTGCCAAGGTCATGCCCTCTTGATCTTGGCACCCTGTGCAAGAGTCACAGGCCCTTCTCAGGCCTGAGCACTACTTCCAAAGAGCTGCTGGTGAGGAGAGCCCCAGCAGGGAGAAATCCTGTAGCACCCATCAGTCCTGGGAGCCCATCCTCCTGTGGCACAGCAGGTCCACGCTCTACACCCAGTTCTGGAGCTCCAGCTAGGGCTGGCTGGGTGGGCAGCAGCCTGCTCTGCCACAGATGTGCATGCACCGACTGCCCACAATGAAGGACGAGTGCCCGCTAAGACCACCCCGATGGTCTCCTTGGGTCTCTCCCAACTTACCTGGAGGCATGTAGGTGCCTTCTGCACTCATGTGGGGGGGAATAAAGCCAGGCTGGGGCATTGGGTGACCTGGTGGCTCGTAGGGTGGGGGACCAATGTCTGCAGGGGGCAGAGGCATGCCCGGTGGGGGCTGCATCACAGCTGGGGAGGTGCGGCCTGGAGAGAGAGAGAGGCAGAAAATGGAGGCTCAGCTGGCTGCAGCACAGCACTTGGACTAAAACCACTGTGGTGGCACACAGGTGGGGCCCAGGGTGATCCTGGAGTGGGATCAGATCATACAGTCTGGGGTGGCCACACCGGGGACCCTCAGGAATGGAGCACGTTACCTGGGGTAGGTGGGGCTCCACTTTTCTCCTCCAGAAGGGGGGCTGTGGGACCCCCAGGGTAAGGAGGGGGTGGCTCATTAGACATCTTCACTGTGTTTCTGGGACCTGGAGGGAAAACCCAACGTGAACTTGGCTTCAGCCACCCTGCTCCCCCGCTCAGGCTCGCACTGCCACACGGGATGCTGTGCAGGCCAAGTGACTGCTCTTGGCTCCCGGGCTGAACCTGTGGTTCCCCCTGGAAGCATCCCCTGCCCTCAGTCCTACCTCCTTTTACTTTCCTCTATAATAAGTCATGCTGGAATGAACAGCGTGGTACCCATCTTCAGGGAGAGTGGTCACCAGGTCGCCCCACCTCCCTGGGGGTAACCCAGCCCAGAGCCACCACCCTTCACCCCTCTCCATGGTCACCCTCACTACCTGTTAGGAAACCAGATGGCAAGGATAGAACCCAAGAAGCAGGGCCCAGTGGTGGAAGGCACGGCATCCAGCAGTGTGGGAAGCTAATCCAGGGTCCCCCTCCCCTAACATTTAGGGGCACTGAGGCAGCCATGGAGAATACTTCTGTACCCAGGGAGGGCACTTTAGGAGGTGTTCTGTTAGTTTTTTACCTCAAATTTCTTGTCCTCAGAGAAGAAAGGCAGGTCGGGCCCCTTACACTGCTCACCTGGACACACGGGACAGGCCGGGCTCTGAGGAGCTGTCAGGAGAGAACAGGCTGCACCTTCTGCACTGGAGCCCCTGGCCAGGGCACAGGTGTGGCTCCGAGCTTTCCCCGTGTGTGGTCAGACAGGACTAGCCACTCCCACCACGCTGCCGTCCCTGCCTCTGAGGACCTCAGCTGGGTCCTCTGCATCCCCTCTCCTCCCAGCAGCCCCTGCAGATCTTTATCTCATGCACAAAGGAACAAAAGTGAAACACTTTTCCTGACCCCCTGCCCCACCCCTACCCCACAACCAGAGCCTAAGCACCCATGGTCCAGCCCTGGGGGAAGAGGCAGGAACGCTTCAGTCTCCTTGGGAAGTCACTTTCACTCTTACTTAGCATCATAAAAGACTAAATATAATTTTGATGTGGGATTCAGTTTTTTAAGCCAAAAGTAAAAAAAAAAAATGTAGAGAACTCACAAAAGGATACAGAGTGAAAAGTGTAGAACCTGGAGCTCTTACAGCCACACCATAGAGGGGAGGGAATGGCGTTCCATTAAATTTAACGAATCAGTGGCAGGTCCAGAAGGACTAAGTCCAAGCTTGTGGTTTCAACTATAGAGTAACATGACAGTGTGAACAACTGAAGGAAATGGATGAAGAGCTAAAACGACAACACTCTTAGAGGAAAACAGGCACAAATCCTCATAACCTTGGGTTAATGAGTGGCTTCCTAGGACACCAACACCACCACAACAAAAGGCACGGGATTTATCAGACCTGAAAACATCTAGGCTTCCAAGGACACCATCAAATCCTACAAGTCCTTTTATCTGATAAAGGACTTGCACTTAGAACATACTCATGTAGGGCTGGTGCTGTGGTGTAGTAGGTTAAGCCTCTGCCTGCAGCGCCAGCATCCCATATGAGCACTGGTTCAAGTTCCGGTTGCTCCACTTCCGATCCAGCTCCTAAATGATGCATCTGGGAGAGCAGCAGCAGATGGCCCTACTGCTTGGGCCCCTGCCACCCACCCAGATGGGAGACCCGGAAGAAACCCCTGGCTCCTGGCATCAGATCGGCCCAGTTCTGGCTGTTGCAACCATTTGGGGAGTGAACCAGTTGACGGAAGACCTCTCTGTCTCTCCCTCTGTGTAACTCTGCCTCTCAAATAAGTAAATCTTAAATATATATATATACACACACACACTCACTCACTCACTCATGTAAAGAAGTCTTAGAGGGCCGGCGCCATGGCTCACTTGGTTAATCCTCTGCCTGTGGCGCCAGCATCCCATATGGGCGCCAGGTTCTAGTCCCGGTTGCTCCTCTTCCAGTCAAGCTCTCTGCTGTGGCCTGGGAAGGCAGTGGAGGATGGCCCAGGTGCTTGGGCCCCTGCACCCTCATGGGAGACCAGGAGGAAGCACCTGGCTTCGGATCAGCGCAGCACACCAGCCATAGCAACCATTTGGGGGGTGAACTAACAGAAGGAAGACCTTTCTCTCTGTCTCTCTCACTGTCTAACTCTGCCTGTCCAAAAAAAAAAAAAAAGAAGTCTTAGAACTCAGTAACAAAAAAGATAACCCAATTTTTAAAATGAGGAAAGAATAGGTATTTCCTTAATGCTAATTTTTTCCATATTTTCATAAGGAAAATGAAATCAGAACCACACTAAGATGCCATTTCCTAGCCACTAGGCTGGCTAAGATTGAAAAGACAGCAAGCATTGTGTAGGGAAACTAGAACCCATGTATACTGCTGGGGAAACCCCACAGAACAGTCTGGCAGTTCCTGCAAACCTAGAGCTAACATGTGACCCAGCAATTACACCTGCGGCATCTACGCAAAAGAAACTGAAATGTATGTCCACAGGAAAACGTCCACACAAACGTTCATGACAGCATTATTCAAAACACCTCTGAGGTGGACACAGCCCCTGTCTACCAATGGATAAGCAAACTGGTCTGTCCATCTCAGGGTATGACACTCAGCTGTGAAACAGAATAAAGCACTGGCACATGCTACAGCTTGGATGAACCACAGCCAACCACAGCCTGTACGAGTGCATTTACAGGAAGTGTCCCGGACAGGCGATCCAGAGACAGAAGTTCATTAGTGGTTGCCTGGGTCGGGGGGAGGGAGGGTATAAGGAGAACGTGGGGCTTCCTTCTAGGGAGATGGAATGTTCCGAAACTGCTGACAGTTGAACAGTTCTGTGGATGCACAAAAACCACTGCGCTGTGCAGGCCGAGTGGGTGAATTACATGGTGCATAGTTTACATCAGTAACATTGTAAAAACTGAAGGCAAACAAAATGGCTCTGCTGTCAGCCAGATGCAGCTGCTGTGGGACACCTTCAGTCCTTTAACATCTGCAGCTTGAGGGCTCCACACCACTAGTGCGAGGATGCCGTGAAAGGGCTACTGACCAGTCCAGGGGGCACTCGGCGTGCTCCGCGTTGCTTTCACGAGAAGCAGGGAACACCTTTGGCTGACACTCTCCCTTTCTTTGATGTGAACATCTTACGCCTTTTTAGAAGGATGATGCCGATTTACAGTGCCACCTTTGTGTGTATGTGTAAATTATTTATTTAAAAACTAGAGAAAACAAGATCTTCTATCTGCTGATTCACTCCTTAAATGTCTACAGCAGTCCCAGGTGGGCCAAACTGAAGCCAGGAGCTGTAAACTTAACCCAGGTCTCCTATGTGGGTGGCAGGGACCCAAGTATTTGAGCCATCACCTGCTTGCCAAGGTGGGCACTAGCAGGAAGCTGGGATGGGGGGCAGAGCTGGCACTCCAATACGGGATGCAGGCATCCAAAGTAGTGCACTAACCACAATGCCAAACACCTACCCCTACACTGCCAACTCTGGGTACCACTGTTAACATTGAAATGAAATATTAAAATAACATTTTTTTCCTGCACTTCTTTGACCACTGTGAGACGAAACCACCTGCTCTTATCGAAGCTGCCTGTGTACTATCCTTTCAGGATATGGAAGCCAAGAAAAGAAGGGGCAGGGTGTAAGTCTGAGACTCAGGAGTGATTCTCCCATGCTCCTACCCCTCAGGTGAATTCCACTAGCACAGGCTGGGCAGCCTCTTGTCCTTCTCTGTTTAGATCTTATCTGAACTGTGAAAAAATAGGCAATTGTCTGAAAACCTTGACAAGTCTATTGTACACTGTACAGTAGCTTCTCTGGGAGACCAGAGGTTCCCTCCACACTGGATTTTGTGGCATATGAAGGTTATTAGCCAGGGTAAAAGTATATAGGAGCAATGACTACAGAAGAGTGCTAGAGATCCAAGCTGATCATGAAGGCTGCCCGACCGCCAATGTGGTACTAATCCCCGCTGTCCACAGGTGTGGACAGGCAGTGGGGTGCCCATGCCCAGGACAGCAGAGCACAGAGCTGCACTGTACCTCCAGGGCTCATGGGCTCCTCAGGCAGCGAGACTCACTCCACAAGCATCTGCAGTGGACGTGGTCTCAGGGCTCACAGTGAATCCTGTAAGGTGAGATGGGGAATTCGTTGAGCTGCTTATGTGTAGCAGTGCATACACCCAGCACAGGTCCAGATGGGGCTCATTTCTCTCCCAGCTCCTCAGGATTTCAGAAGTCCGAGAGAGGGTCCTGAGTGAGGATCTGAGAAGTGATAACCCTGACTTGGCCTCAGAATCACGAGACATGCCCTGGGATGCCAGTGTGCTGGCAGCAGGCCCAGGAGGAGCTCCACCCTCACTCAGGCCAGGCATGGGCAGGCCTTTAAGTAGCCGGAAGTCTGCAAGGCTGTTCCATGCCCAGGGCCACACAGCCCTGCGGTCACAGTGCAAGGTGTTCGCAAGGACTTCTTAGGAGTCTGAATCCCTGTTTTTTACTTCTTAGGCACAGCATTACAAGTGCTGGAAAGCATTACACTTAGCCTTAGATAAAGCAGTATGCCCACTGCCCCAGCCCAAACAGCTCCTGGGCACAAGAGGCTCTCCCAGAACAAGATGGGCACAGGGAGGCAGAGAGGTGACAGGACAGTCCCTGGAAAGAATCCTGAGGGGCTTCTTGCTCTCAGCCCTGCACAGGCCCAGGCCATTGTGGCCATTTGGGGAGTGAACCAGGGGATGAAAGAGAATCTCTCTCTGTAACTCTGCCTTTCAAATAAAAATAAATCTTTAAAGAATTTTTTTAACATGTTCAGTGTTTAAAAAATTCATGAGTCTACCTTGCATTTGGAAAAGATCTTGTATACTGGCCCAATTTTCCAACACCAGTTTGGATCACTGGAAACCCTGAGTCACTGTTTTACAGACCTACCAATGTTGAAACATTACCTTGCACAATATAAAATAGCCTGCTGTTGGCTGGGCATTGTGGCACAGTGGGTTAGACCACCACCTGGGACACTGGCATCCCATATCAGAGTGTCAGTTCAAGTTCCTGCTACGCTGCTTCTATACAGCAGCAGATCATGGCCCAAGTACTTGAGTTCCTACTACCCAGCTGGGAGCCAGGAACTCAATTCAGGGTCTCCCACGTGGTGGCAGGAACTCAACTACTTGCGCCATGATCTGCTGCTTCACAGGGTCTGTATCAGCAGGAAGCTGGCATTGGAACTGGAGCTGAGACTTGAACAAAGGCACTCCAAGATGGCACGTGTGCATCCCAAGTAGCATCTTAACAGCTATGTCAAAAGCCTGCCCACTGCTTCTCATGTGACACTGGAATGCGTGGTGGTGAAGAACACAACTTAACAATGACCACGACAGTTTGGTGCTTCTACCTTAGAGTCAGTTCAGGCTTCTACACCACCAAGGCCAACACAATGAAAAATGAAGGGTAACTAATTAGGTCTTTTTTTTTAATTAATTAATTCATTTGAAAGGCAGAGTTAGAGGCAGAGGGAGAGAGGTCTTCCATCTGCTAGTTCACTCCCCAGATGGCCATAATGGCCAGAACTGTGCTGATCGCAAGCCAGGAGCTTCCTCCGGGTCTCCCAAGTGGGTTCAGGGGCCCAAGCACTTGGGATATCCTCCACTGCTTTCCCGGGCCACAGCAG